ATATTGAAACTAAAAAATTAGCCTATTAGTTCTATGGGTCTTTATATATTTAAGTCATGGGATCTTAGTTCTTCACACTCACAAGGGAAACACACTTCAACAAAGGGAAGAAGGAAAATAGAAAGAAGAGTTTCAAGAACTAGAAAACCAAATTTAATTTGGGGTTCTGCATTTTTTGCTATAATTTTTTTAATTTTTTGTTTGAAAGTGGAATGAGTTAAGAATGAATTTCCTCAAAGTGGAATGATTTAAACAAATTATTGTAGAATTTCTTGGTTTTGGAAGTAATTTTTATCAATTAAATGCTCAAAAAACACAATAAATGTTGAGGTTTGTGCCATTGGGAGAGAAGAAAGGTGGGACTTGAAATTTTGATAACAAAGAAAAATAATTTTGGAATAATTTTTTTGTATCACATTTTGGTACAACTTGACGTATCATTTAAATAATTAGTTTTTTTTTTATTCATATGAAATCCATGATGTTGATGAATTTACTCATTTAATGACATGTAAAAGTTATATAAAAAGATGGTGCAAAAAAGTTATCCCCATAACACTGCCCAATAACAAATTAAGAGACAATAGGTTAATTAATGTTTAATGAAATTAATTAATAGTTAAAATTAATTATTAGTTTGTGGGTCCCATGAATTGCCACATCAATCAAGAAAGGGAACATTTTAGAGTTATTAAAAGTTTTAGGGTTATTGAATAGAAATTTGAAAGTCAAGGGACCAATTTTGTTATTTGACTAATCAAAGTTAACACCATTAAAAATTAATTCAACGGACTTAATTGTTTCCTACACCTTATTTGAGAATTTCAATAACTTTTAGATTTTAATTAAGGGCAATAAAACTTTGTGCTCTTAATTGCAAATTGTTCAGATCTTATTCCCTGCTTTAGCCAATTAAAAATATGATGGAAGGGCCCCAAAATTTTTGAAAATGCCGCAAACATAAAAGACAACAGAGAACACATTTCCAAAGTACAAAAGGAAAGATAACAGAGAAAACATACATGAATGACCCTTAGTCTTGGTTGAACCCTTGTGATTGTTCACCTTAGTCCTCCTCTTCAGATAGTTCTTCATCAAATTTATCTCCCAATGTTTGGTAATGTTTGGTTCCAAGACCTAGATGATTCATCAACAACCAAACAAAAGTGAGAAGTTCTCCACCCCTACTTGGTTGCTCTGCATGGACAGATGACTTGCAATTAATAGCAGCATAGCACATTAATTCCAGCCAAACTTTGCTCATAAGCCTCCAATTCCGAAGATAAGGACCCTTCCAGTTGATGAGCCCTTTAGCAAGCTTAACTGCACCACGTAAGGGATATTCTTTTCCCTTCTCAAAGATTTCTTTTCTGGCAGTCTTTTCATCCAAGAAAAGACTCCATGGTACTAATGATTGAGTCTGTCTAGTTGCTTTTTTAAATTTTTTGCTCCAATCATTCAATATAGTGGACATCATGGTGGGCTGCATCACTGCCAGGTAAAACATATAATCTGAAAGCAGTTTGCATATTGATCTGGAATCAGTTCTCTCAAGCCTGATTACTGGGTCATCCTTTTGGTAGCATAACTCAGTGGCTATATGAAACAGTATGAGGAGTTCTGAGTAATCTGTATTAGAAATAATGCTGTCAGCCAACCCTTGCTGCTCATCACTAACCCAATCCTTAGCCTTATGAACAAGTTGTTTAAGTGTTTTTGGAGACAACCAAATATCGTTAAGCAACGATAAATTATTCCCCTCCACGTTTGCTGCTGCCTCGCGCGCTAATTTCCACAATTCCCAAAAAATGAAGTTCCAATGAAGGTCTTGGAAATTTTAGAATTTCTGACATCTCCAATTATGCAGGATTTCTAGCAAACTCCCTATGTAAGGCAAACTGTGGAGTTTTTTCAACCAAAATGGACCCTTTACATGATGTCTAAAAAAGGTTTAGCTGAGGAACTGCTTTAGACCACCTACGCCTTTTGATAATTGTATTAAACAACTCGGGACTATTAAAGGACTGGGATTTATATCTAAAGAGACCAATGGCAAACCAATAAGAGAATTTGTTGAGAACTATGATAAATAGGACTTCCAACATCAACCCACTGATTAGCAACACATAGGTTAGCAAGAGGTTAAGCTCTGCCAACTGATAGTGCTTCTTAACTAATGAGAAGGAGATCAAGGCTACCAAGATGCAACCAAAATTAGCCATACGGAGATAACAGCCTACGGTGGTAGTAATCACGGGTAGCTTGGTGTGAAGAGCCTCATACAAGAGGCTTAGCTCGATCTCAATTACTTGAAGCCCTTCGGCAAAATTGTTGATCTTGGAAAACGTTTTTGTGACTTCATATTGTTCCTCTTTCTTTAGAAAAGGGCCAACAAGTGTCCTCTTCAAATTGCCAAAAAGTTTAACTGCAATTCCTAATATTGATTTCTCTGTCTCCATGTCTCTGAATTGTTGTGGAAGTGGAATGCCATGACGTTGTGGAGTACCAGTTTCCTCATCAGCAGCAGCAATGGGTACTGTTTCTGGCTCCCAATTATCTTCGAAATGCTCAAAGCTCGCAAGATAAAAAGCAAGGTTTCTCTCAAAATATTTGACTATGCCAGCAAATAACACTAGGATGGTTGGGAGCCAAAGTTGGTTGGTTGAGAAGGATTTAAGGAAGATGTGGATAGTATAACCAACCTGTAAGACGGGCGAAAAGAAGTGCCTTTTCCATAACTCATTATCCTCTACAGAATAAGAGGTAATGCTGTCAAGGCCCCCAAGGTGCAACAAGAGAAAGGACGCCCAAAACCCCATGATGTCTTTTGGTGTACCCTCCAACGAGGAACTGCTGCTGCTGAAGATAAGTCTGATTGTATATGTAGCCACCTAGTCCGCAAACAAGTACGCCAACCAAATTGAAAAAATGAGCCAATTTCCCCCAATTCTTCCTTTTCGTAGCGGTACCAGCAGAATCAAGAATGCCTGCAAAGACATGCTTAGAATAATGGATCCTCTAATACTGTAATTGCACCAAACTAGAAGTCTTTCTTCAGTCCACATCTGCACTCCGGATTGACCTGCAAAGCCTCAAGGTGGGTCATCGGGGAAGACACTCCGATGCTTAAGTCAGCAATAATCGGGGCTACCTTTAGAGTGGAGATAAAAGGAGCTTAGGGTTGGTTTCAATTACTTTTTTGAGGGGGCCTTAGGGGGTATTTATAGGCTCCAGTGAGGAACCCATGTGGCATGCCAAGCAAGATAATCGAAGTTTGATTGTGTCTATCCAGACGGATAAGCTCTAGTGAGGAACCCACGTGACATGCCAAGCAAGATAATCGGAGTCTGATTGTGTCTATCCAGA